GGGCGGGCCACCCACAAGCCCGGCCCCCCCCCCCCCTTTACACACCCCTCCCTCCCCATCCCGGTCTTCTCCTCCTCCTCCCAGCCCGGTTTTTCCCTCCTCTCGATCTTCTCCCGCCGCGCCCCGACCGCCCCCTCGGGGGTCTCTCTCCTTAGGCCGTCGCTCTTTGCCCGGGGACGCCGCGGGTGGGGCCGGGAGCCCCGAAGAGGGGGGGTCCCGGGGTGTCCCCGGGCAAAGGGCGATGTGTCCCCCCCGTCGGTACCGCTCGTAGGGCGCCATCTAGCGGTTCCCGGTGCGCTGCACCCCGCCCGTTACCGGCGGCCGCTCCTCCCCGCGCAGGTGGGACCCGACGGGGCGGACGGTGCTGGGGAACGACCAAGTCGAGGGGTTTTGCTTGCCGCCCCACCCTAGGGATGGATGCTGATACACAAAGAGGCGTGGCACCCACCGGCTGGGGAAGCTGGAGCGGGTGGTGTCATTTTGGGGTGCAGAGGGTGGAACATCGTTCGATGAGTGGAGATGATGGGGGAAAGGGCTCTGGGGAGCAGGGAGGGAAGGCAGACGGCCCTAATGTGCTGGTGAGGGGGGAGAGCAGAAAGCGGGAGGGGCGCGCGGCGCTGGAGCCCAGATGTGCGGTGGCGATGGCTCGGGGTGGGCTGGGGGCTTGCGGTGGTTTGGGATGATGATGAGGAGGAGGAGGAGGAGGGGGAGGCAGAGCCACGTTTTCCTCGGCTTCATCCCTCCAGCCGTGCCTGAAAAGGCTGCTGGGCTAGGGGTGCAGCATGGGGTACCCCCCTTGGCGCGGGGGGAGCCGCCTCTCGCTTCACACTTTCACTTCTCCTTTCTCACAGCCGCAGCCTCTTGCACAACCTTCTGGTACAGCAAAGCATCGTGATGGGCTTCCCCAGGCCGGCTGCTAATCCTGGGGTGTCCCGCTGGCACCCCCTGACCGGAGCAGGGCACCCCGACGGAGCAGCGGCCATCCCTCCCACTTGGGCTCTTGGGGTTTCACCCCATAACCCTGGTCCCCTGGTAAATGGGAGCCAATGTGGGGTCCCTGGTGCCTGGGATAGCGTTTGGCCAGCCCTGATTTTGGGACAAAAAAGGATGGGTGCTGGCAGGGAGGGTGCAGGCTGGTGGCAGTCGTTGCCCTCACAGCTCAGCATCACTCACCTGGAACTCATCCTCAGATTCCCTTCAGATTCAGCGTGTCCCGGTTCACTAGGGAGGCGTCACCCTGGGGACCGGGACAGAGTGTCACTGCCCGTGGGGACCCTGCAGTGGGCTCATCCCAGGCACCGGCTCAGAAATCCCCCTCCCTGCTTCCCATGCTGGGCTCTTGCCCACAGGAAGCGCTGCGATCCTGGGAGCGGGACGTGGGCGACCCTCGTTAGAGCCGCGGTTTAATCCCAACTCCCCGGGCACTAATTTCTCCCCCCTCTCCCTTTTTTTTTTTTTTTTTTTTTTTTTTTTTTTTGTTCCCCTCTTCAATTAACGGCTGGAAGTGTTTCAGGTTCTGGCAGCGAGCTCTGGACGTCGCTGTGAGCGATGGCTCCCGCGGGCTCCGTCCCGGTAATTTATGGGGCTGAGCTTCATGAATCACGGCAGCGAGCGGCTCCCAGACAGCTGCATCCCCTGGGGCCGGCCGGGACCCCGGGCTGCCCCAGCTACCTGCTGAGTGACGCCGAGCCCCGGGGGCAGCGGCCGAAGGAGGGAATGGAAAAACCCTTCACCTTTTCCACCCTCCTTTGCAGCTCCTCTCCCATTCGCGGCCTCTCCTAGGAGCAGAGGGGCGGATCGGTGCCCGCGGGGGTTTGGGGCAGGTGGAGGGGGGTTTTCTTGCACGAGTATCCCCCGTCCTGTCCTGCTCAGCCTTCTGGAGGGATCCTAACACAGCAGCCCGACCCAGCCTTCTGCACACAGAGCTCTCAAAAGCTGCCGGTTCTCCCCAGGGAGCGGCAGCCGATGTGCAGCTCCGGGGGACGGGGACGGTCGGGATGCAGCAATGCAAGAAGAGCCAGCGCCGGCGACCGGCAGCGCGCAGCGAAAGGGGCATTTTCGCCTCAATGTGCTGAGCAGATTGGAACCAGCTCTGGTTAAGTCATTGGCTCTGTTGGGAGGTCTGAGCTGGAGCGTTTCCCGCCTGTGCCCCCTCCCCACAATCAATCAAAGTTGCAGCAAATTAGCCCAGATGCTGGGAGATTCGGTTCAAATCCAGCTGTGGTTTGGATCGCGTTCGCATGCCTGGCTTCATGTGGGACCTGGGCTTTTGGACAGGATACAGCCCCCCGGTCTCTGCAGGGCCCTGTTTCCCAGCGCAGCCTCTCCCCAAAGCCCACACACATGTCTTCGATTACGGCGCGTTGGCCAGCGGGGCCGCATCCGGCAGCGCCAGGAGCCTGCAGCCCCCGCTGGCAGCTTGCACTGCACTTCCCCAGCCGTGCTGGGGTACAGCGGCCCCGAAACTGCAGCCCCCGTGTGTGTGCAGGGGGATGTGTGTCCTCTCCAGCCGGGCTGGACTAAGGCTGTGAAGCTCATGACGGTGCTGAGCTGTTCCAGGCTGGGCAGGGATCACCTCTGCGTCTCCTGAGCTGTTCCAGTGCCAAGCCCTGCCTGCCGCAAAGCAAGGCTGGGGGCAGCCACGGGACCCTGCCAAGCTCTCCCAGGGTGCCCCCTTATCATGAGAGGATCTCTGAAAGGCAACGGGAAGGGCAGAGCTTCCGTGGCACAGCACAGGCCCGGCCAGGGTGGCTCTCTCTGCTCTGCTGTCTGGGTGGCATTGCTGAGGTGGACAATGGCAATCATTCCCTGTGGGGTGATGCTCAGGGGGCTGGGGGCGCCCTGCTCTGTGGACCAATGCTTGATGGGGCAATGGGACCCCTTTCTTGTGGGGCGACGCTGAGAGGGTTTTTTGCAGATGGATGCTTGGTCACACAAGGGCACCTATCCCTGCAAGGTGATATTTAATGGAGAAGAACAGCCCTTCCTGCTGGAAGGATATCCAGGTGCACAAGAGAGAGCATCAAGAGCTGAGATTGGAAGAGACCTCAGGAAGTCGTCACCCAACCCTGCTCCAGCAGGGCCACGCAGGGTTGGCTGCACAAGACCTTGCCCAGGTGGTTTTGGCCATCTCAAAGGACAGTGACTCCAGCACCTCCCTGGAGGGGCTGCCCCTGCCAGCACTCCCCTCCCAGTGTCAAAGTTCTCCCTGATGGTCAGAGGAAGCCGTGGGACTCAGTCTGTGCCACCTGCCCCTGCTCCTGGCACTGGGGACCATGGAACTGAGTCTGGTTCTGTCCGCTCCCTCCCTCCAGGGATGTGGACGCACTGATAGGTCCCTGGAGCCTTCTCTCCTCCAGCTCTCTGCCTCTCCTCATCAGAGACATGCTCCAGTCCTTTCCTTCTCAGGAGCAGGGCTTTGCAATTCCCCTTGTTGAACTGTGGGGCAGTGGGACCCATTCCTTGTGGGGCAGTTCTCAGGACAAGGCACCCATCCCTGCCAGGTGGTGTTTCCTGGGGCAGTGGGACCCCTTCCTTGTGGCACAATGCTCAGATTGGGTGAGGAACACTTCCAGCAGGGTGATATTTTGGGGCACGAAGTGATGAAACCCTTTCCTTTGAAACGATGCATTGTGGAGTAATAGGATCCCTTCCTTGTGGGGTGATGTCCAAGCAAGTGAAGACCCCACTCCTGTGGAGCCACGATGGCACAATGAGACCTCATTCCCCCAGGTGGGGCGGTACCACCCCTTCCTCCTTCAATCCTCCTCATCGACCTTCCCCTCCCCACCCACATCCCCCCTCCCGCCGCCGGGACACGGCTGGTGGGAAGCCCACGAGATGGCAGCAACGGGCCGCGCTCCGGGATGCGACACCCCCTCCTCGGGGGCCGCGACCCCCCCACTCCACGTCCCGGTCCCCCGACGCGCACTCGGGGGATCGGGAGGTGGAGTGGGGGGGTCGCGGCCCCCGGAGGAACGGCGGAGCTGCGCAGCCGGTTGCGGGTGGGCCGGCCCCAGTTGCTGACTAATCCCGGGGCTGAGTCACGGTTGCGGCGGGGAGCGCTGCGGCAGCGATTCCCCCCCTCCCCTTCCCGAACCGGAGAGCCCCGACGGGGCGAGCGCCGGTGCTGCGTGGGGAAAAAAAAAAGAGGGGGAGAGGAAGGGCACACCCCCATCTAGCAGGGGGTGGGTAAGGCGTTTTGGGGAGTTCTAGGGGGGTGGCAGAACATTGAGCGGGGTGGTTGGTGGAGGATGGGGAGGTGCTGGTGGGGTTGCGAGGGGTTAATTCCCTGAGCGGCTCTGCAGGTATTTGGGGGTGTGAGGGGTAAGGGAGTGGGGGGGTCGTGGCTTGAGGCCCCAGTAGCAGCGTGTGGCCTTGCAGCAGCGTGCGGCCTTGCGCAGCGGCGGATACTGGCGGGCGCGGATGCTGCTGTCAATGACAACGCCGCTGTTGCTGTGGTTACCGGTGTGATGCTTCGCCAGAGCAGAGTGAGGTCAGACGGCTCCAGCAGGAACGGGGGGGATGCATGGATGGATGGACGGATGGACAAGTGCATAAAGAGGGAAAGGATGCTCCCAAATCCCCCTGGATATGACTCTAGGCCCACCTTGGGGGGTGCTGGCACTTGGGAAAGAGCAAGGGGCCAAAATTAATTCACCCATGAAGCCGCAACCTCTTTCTGTAGCACTGATGGTTTTTTGGGGACCCAACCCTGGTGGGAGTGAGGGACAGGCCCCATTGTGGGGTTGGAGGGGTCAGGGCAGCACGGTGCTGCAATGGGTTACTCACCCTATGCATTCTAAACGTGCCCCCCCACCACCGCTTTGTGCTGTCCCATTACCCTACAGCGCATTGGAGTGGCACCCATGGGCGCTTGTGACACTGGAAGAATGGGGGGGTCTTATGAGGGGCCACGTGGGAGGTGCTGCTCAGGACATTGTTGTGGGTGCCGGCTGCAGGTGGGCAGGGGGCACCCCCAGGCTGGTGCCCAGGTGTAGGGACCCCTGTGCAACTCCTTCCCGTGATGGGGTGCTCAGACAGCCCCAAATCAGCAGCCCCATGGTGATGCCAAGAGGCCAGGATGGGGCCACGTTCTGGCCTAGAGGGGTGGTCAGGGGCGATGGGCGCCCCGGGTTCCCGTGGGTGCCTGGATGGACACCTCGTGTCTGGGGCAGGGGGTGCCCCACGTCGCCCTCCCTGGGTGATGGGACCCTCCGTTTGTATCGCAGAGGGTGCACGGCCCCTGGGTCTGGCAGCAGGTGGAGAAGGGATGTGGGGTACTGGGTGCTGCTCCACTGCACCCCTCGAGCAGCCAGGGAACGGAGTGGGGAGGCTCTGGAGGGATCGGGGGTGGGGGGCCGGTGTCCTGTTGCAGCCCGGACCCCCTGCCCGGCTCCAGGCCGCTGTCCTCCCCCCGCGCCGATATAAATAGTAGCGTCTTCCCGTTCCCTAAATTTCCTCGCTGACGTAGCGCTCACGTCATTGTGTAGGTTGATGCTTTTCTATGAATGAGCCGAGATCCCCGTTACTACGAGCCCGATCCTATAAAAGCCCCGCGCGCTGCGGACAGCGCAGCACCGACACCGGCGCCGGCCCCGCCGGGAGCCGCGGGGCCCCTGCCCGGCCCGGCAGCCGCGGGGCCTGCAGGAGGTAAGGCACCGGCTGGCTTGGCCCCCAGGTAAGCGGGGACGGAGCCCGGTGCGGGGGCGGGAGGGGGCAGCGGAGCCCCGCGGCACCGAGCGCTGCACCTGCCGGCCCCGGGGCGGGGGTGAGGCGGAGCGGAGGGCAGCGGGGGCCGGGGCGGGGGGGAGCTCTGCGGCGGGCGGGGGCGGTGCGGTGCCGCCTGGCGCAGCCCCACGTGCGGGCCGGGCGGCGGGGGCGGCGGGGCCGGGCGGCGGCGCCGGCGGGGGCGGTGCGCGGGGGCGGGCGCTGAGCCCGGGGCCGCCCCGGGGGGGCGCACGGCGGGGACCGGCCGCCCGCACCTTGCAGGGGTTGGGGTGGGAGAGGGGGGGGCGGGGAGAGGTGCGGAAGCGCATCCGCGTGTGGGGCTGTGCGTGTGTGTCCCGCTCTGCGGTGACACTGGCGCCCGCTGTCCCCCCCCCCTCTCCGAGCCTCCCCGCGGCCACCCCCGACGGGACCCCCCCCAGCCCCATCCCGCGGTGCCGCCGTGCCAGGCACTCTCCACCGCCACCTCCCTCGGGTTTCCCCGCAGCCCCGTGTCCCCAGCCCGGGTGCTGCCGGCTCCGCAGAACCCGGCCGGGGGGGGTCGATCGCCTTCACCCCGCTGCGTCTAAAGAGCGCGGAGACCCCGTTGAGGAGAGCCCGAGTCAGAGCGTCGGCACCTTGGCTCTAGACTGCTTACTGCTGCGTAGGGACAGGACAGTAACAGTCTACAGTCATGGCTACTGAAGCATGACCCACCGCCGGCACCGGCACCGGCCCAGCACCGGCCCCGGCCCCGCCGCAGCGCCGGGGGGGCGGGCGCTGTCCGTGGTGCTGAGCCGTCGGGGAGCGCGCCCCGACGGGGGCGGGGGGAAAGGCGGGAAGGGGCGGGGATGGGGGGGGTGTCCCGGTGCCCGCCTGACCCCGCTCTCTCTTTCCCCCCCCGCAGACACCGACCCCCCCACGGCGGAAGCCCCCCCCCGCCTTCCCGCTGCAGCCCAGGTAGGGGGGGACCCCCGGCGGGGCGGACACGCGTGGGAGGGAGGGGGGCGGGCAGGGGGGGTGGGCGGATGCTACCGATGCTGCCGATCCTACCGACACTCCCCCCTCCCAAGCACCGGGAGTCCCCCCCGCGTCGCCGGTGGGGGTCGGGCGCGCTCGCTGCGGTGGCGGGGACGCCTCCTCGCCGTCTCCAAGGCACCGGCTGCCCCCTCCCAATCCGCCCTCCCGCCCCCC